GCACAGACTGTTCCAGGTCCACATGTGAAGAACTCCTTAAGCAATGCTTTCTGAGTAGCCAGTGCCTCCTGTCAAGAGCAAGAAAGGAAAACCTGTCTGTTTGGGTAATCTGATTAGACACCTTTCCCCAGCCATGCACCCAGCAAGCTCAGGTCAGTCAGAAACCTGATGTGCCTCTTGCCAGGGGCCCTGTCCTCCGTGCACTCACCTGGCCCATCTCCTGGGGGTGGAAGGTGACAATAGCCATGGTGTGGCCATGGCTGGTGGTGCGTACCACAAGCTCCCGCCAGTGTCCACCTTCATGGAAGAGGATGCAGGGGTCCAGGGGGGAGTGACGGATGAACTCCTCATAGCACTGAGCAGAGGGGAAATGCCACTTGTAGGACAGTGAAGACAACTGTCCTGGTCTTAAAATAACTCTGTGCACCCCAAACGGGTGGCCCTTCCACCAGTATAATCTTTTTTCTGTTTGATTTCAATACACTGAGTGAAAGCTCTTTCCAAGTTCTTGGAAGACAAGATGTATCAATAATTTCAATTTGTGATTCTAACATATTTTAATAGATTGGCAGGAATTCCTTGTCACTTGATTTAATTTCATTCTTTGGGACAGTTTAGAGGATGCAACATTCACAAGCAAGTTTTAAAAAAATAATTATCCATCAACCAGAGTCAGGCCTGAAACTTTTCAGAACATGAAAATGGACTTGAAACCCCAGTGTAACTAAAATTGCAGTGTTCTCCCAAGTAAGCTCTGGCAGTCCCTCTATTCCACAGTCTAGGGACAGACACGACTTATTTGTTTACCTGGGCTACTTGTTTGTGTTTTTGGGGTATGTTCTCCATGTGGTTGGCTTTCACACAGACAATATTTCTTGCTGGAAACAGACAGACAGGTATTTAATTGTTTTGTTTCAGGGCATGTAAATGACCAGCATCTGACATGATTAAACCCACCCACAATTAAAACCAGCAGTTTTCTACCCAGCTCCTTGTCCTGCACTGACCTCTGCCAGTTCCCACATACAACCCCACAGTTTTGGGGTTCCCATCTGGTCCTCGGTTCACAGAGAAAGTAGATTTGTTTCGGTAGCCATTAATGATGGGCTGAGGGAGAAAAGAAGGAAAAGTAAAGCCTTGCATTAAAATAAAAAGTAATGGAGGAAAGCCCAAAGCCAGTCTGGTAGTTCTGTTGGCAACACAGGGAGACACACAGGAATGTGCAAAATGCAGAAACAGAGCTTGTGTGCGAGACCCCCAAGACTTCCCCTGGGGAAGAAGAAACGGCTCTCTGTGACAGAATGGTGACAGGTTTATTAGGGAAGGCTTGAGCACAAAAAAGGGTTCCTGGGTTTGTTTCCCTAGTCACTGGGTTTGTTTCACTCTGCAGCAGTCACAGGCTGCAAAGCAGAAGCTAGTAAGGACTGCCACAGACTGCATTCTCTGCAGCCAAGTAATCCCCACCACGAGACTCTTCAGGAGTCGAGTCAGAGACTGTTAGTGTCCCCCCCCTCAGAGGGGACAGCGTTCCCACAGGATACTCACTGAAGGGACTAAAGGCTGGAGAGGACAGCAGAGCCCACCAGGTTTCTGTGCATCTATGCCCAGCTCCTCAAGACGAGATGTCAACATCTGCAAGATCTTCCTCTGGCTTTCATACTTCACCTGCAGAGTAGTCTTAAGCCAGAAACACTCTCACAGAACCACACGATGGTGGGCAGCTCTTCATCACCCACCTCTGGGAAGGCCAACGGGGGGGAATACTGTAAGTAGGATATAGCCCCAGAGGAACTCTGCCTTTCTCATCACCACAGCTGCTTGGAGCAACAGGGAGAGAGAAATCCTGTGTCTGTGGTCCCCAGGCACTGGCCTGGAGTACTTGGTTGTTAAGAAATACTAGTCATATAACTTAAATCAGTAAGTTTTAAATAGAATGAACTGCTCAGAGTCAATCATTTAGCACTAGCATGAGTAGCTAGATTTGCTGAAGCCTTAGGCCACAAGCTGTGGACTTTCACCTTTCAGCTTTTGGCTGGAATAGAGTTAATTTTCTTAGTAACTTTCCTAGTAGCTGGTACAGTGATGTGTTTTGCCTTTAGTAGGAGAATAATGTTGATAACACACCAGTGTTTTACTTGTTGGTAAGTACTGTTTATTCTAGGTCTAGGACTTTTTAGTTCCCCATATTCTGCCAGCAAGCAGGGCACAAGAAGCATGAACCAGAAGATAAGGAGGCGCCAATCATCAGCAAAAGCTGCAACATGACAAGGACAGTTAATGGCCTTCCTGGAGACAGGAGAAAGAATCCACTAAGATGTTAGAAGACCCCAGACTAACAATCATCATTGCTGTTGCTCAAGGGGGATAGGAGGGACAGTTGGGGAAGCACAACAGAGAAAAGTCCATGTAAGCACATCTTACCTGCAGTTGCTCTTGATAGGGAAGTCTCCACAGTGGAGTCACCACGTTTGCTAACCTGGAAAGCACAATATCACGGTAGTGCCCAGAGCCACTCCACTCCTGATACTTATGGCATAACATCTCTGCCAGCTGCTTCATGGTCAGGACTGTTCCCTTTTCATGGCACCTTCCTGGTGCAGAATACTTGTGGCTGGAAGAGGGATCCAGGAATCAACTAGCTCTCCAGAGGACAGGCTGAGCCTTTGGCAGAAGAATGACCAGCAATGCCTGGGTGTCCCCCTTTAGAGGACAGAGCCAGGATCAGCATTTCCCCCACAGAGGGACTCAGAGGGGCCCTGACAAGCCCTGGGTGAGATCTGACACCAGGCTGGTAAAGCCAGGGGAAGGAGTATTCTGTTTCTGGGGTCAGAGGGGAAAAAAACCTAAAGTGCAGGTAGAGAAAGGGAAAAAAAATAAATCATGTTGTATCTTCAGACGGACTCTGTTGCTTTCTCCCACCGAATCAGAGGCTTTGGCCATCCTTTGCTACTCTCAGGACAGTTCGGGTCCTGTCTCCCTTAAGTTTTCCCCTAAAAGAGCAAGATGCTTCTCTCATCACTCGATGCATCCATCCTGCATCACCTACCTACTCACAGTTCCAGCCACTACATCTTTTTTGCTAATGCTGTACTAGATTAAATCCACCACAGTGAAATGCACAGCTTGCACGTAGCAGGCAAGGAATTACAGGCTGCCCACTCTTGCTGGCCCGGCCACCCATGCAGTGGCAGTCTAGAGATAAACCTTGGAACTTGCCACTACTTGTATCTGAGGCAGGGTGAGCAAGAACAAACACCTAAAAGCTGATTTTTTTTTTTTTAAAAAAAGAGAACAGAGTGAGGGGTGAGGTGGAGATGATCCAACTATCATAACTATCCATCAACTACTGACTCAATGAGCCTGTGGATAACCTCACCCCACAGCTGGGTAAGCTGCTCTTACTGCTTACTGGGATTTCTGGACCTGCTTCCAAAGCACCCAGTGCCAACTCCTTTCAGGCACAGAACTGCAAATCAAATGGACTATTACTTTTTGCTTGCCAGAATGGCAACTGCTCTGCTGCTGATCCTTTCCTCTTAGACCTTTTCATTTGTCTTTTCCATGATTGCTATCCCCAGGCCAAGCTCCAGGGAAGCCAGCTGAGCCCTGGATCTTCTATTCCTACCCGGGGGAGCTGGGTGGAGGTGAGACTGCTCAACTGCTTCAGGTGCCTGGTGGTCATTTTGTT